ACGAATTGGTTTCTGGTTTAGTAATTTGAGAATTTGACTAAGTTACATTAGGAACTGGGCTAAGTGACCTTCATGAATGTTGTAACTCTGTGTCTTAGCTTCGAAACGGCATAGGTTTCGTCTCAATCCGATAAGCATAGCTTCGGATATGTTATTTCCACATTCATACGTCAAATCTGTCTTGTGCTGAGTTGAATTTCTGCACTTGTGATTGTTGTAATTCTTATTCTTATGATATTGTGAGCCTAGGGAACGGCTCTTGACTTGAATTGCTTATGTGTGATGTTGGGTTGTGGTTGAGGAAAAATAATGAAGCCAAAATGGCTGGAAAATTAGGTAAACACAAAGGGCGTGCTGCCCAAATTTTCGCTCGAGGGCTAGGTTTCTATTTGAACTTGTATACTTTTGTTTGGCCAATACCATGACCGGTTTTCCATTTTAAAACATGATTTTTCATCCTGGGGTTCAAACAACCCTCTTCTTACTTGAAAGTCATTTTTACACGTTTTACTCCTAATTAGTCGGGTTTCTTTGTTTCCCTTAAATGTTTTACTCGATAAACTGTAATATGTTCTCTTGTTCAACCTTAGGTTTCATTGGTGACTAAGGGTAATATCCGAAAGGATATTTTGCACGTTATTTTGCATATCTAGGTGAGTGTTCCTTGTTTGTTATATTCTCCCGGACTTCATGACTTGTTGTTGTTGTTTGATAATGTGTTAAGTGCTTTCAAGGATTTCTAAAACGAGTTTTCTAGGCGAGCGTGTACTTTATCGCGCTCGACCTTAATGAAACGTGAAATTTTCAATGATTTAATGATGCAAACATTAGTTGCGCATGATGTAAGCCTTTTGGCTGAATTGGGCCCTGCCCTTCGTTACCGATCGACTCGAGCCAGAAGCGGACTCGGTCGGGCGATATGGTGACCCTGGGTGAATTTGGTATACTCGAGTATTACCTTGTTGTCCGGCTACGTCCGGATGGGTGGAGTCCGGCCAATGGTCGGATGGGTGGAGTCCGGTCAACGTCCGGAAAAGGGGATGAACGAGGGATTCTACTTACAAAAAATGTATTTTCAAACGATTGGAGGAATAAGGGGAAATGTCAGGGGAACGAACGAACAAACGAATAGCTCCATGTGAGCCCGTATCCTTTTAATGAATGTTACTATCTCTTTCCATTGTAAATGTTTCTTGAATTATTAATACTCCATGTTTAATGTATTGAATTGATTGTTGATTATCTGTTCGGAACCTCACTAAGCTTTTAGCTCACCCCTTTAGTTTTGTTTTCCTTAACAGGGGACGGCGAGCAGGATGAGAGCATAGACTAGCCTAGTCTAGGTATTTTGTTTCTTTTGTAATGGTTCTCGCCCTAGTGCTTGGCACGGGCTGGTTGTATGGTGAAGTGAGAACCTTTGTACATTTGATGGTTGTACTTCCTTTTGAGATAGCAATATATATAAGTTCCGCTTTAAGTTTGGATTGCTGCCCTATTTATTCTTGTGATTTATTCTGGATTTGATTAAGGAACGACTGAGTCCCGGCGAGAGCCGGGCAGGCGACTCGCCAAACCCTTTGGTTCGCCTTAGGGGGAGGTGGGGCCGTCACACAAATCCTAGCACAACTAGGTCAAAAATGCAGATTACCATACCAGAACCGTAATTACAGGTTCCCAAATCGTACAATGCTGTAATTGGTCTAATTCGGTCTATACAGGTCCAAATGCATTGATTCCAAGGGCATATGGTAGCTAAGACATCCAGATACATTTCATCAGAAGACACCAACAACAAAATCCAAACCAATTCCAGTCAAAATGGCCAATTACTAGTGCAGTTTTCGCATTCTGATCAACCCAGAACAGCAACAGTAAAAACGCCATATCTCACTCTACACTAATCCAAATGACCTGAACTTTTGCAATCACCTCAAACACATCAATACCTACAACTTTCATGTTTTGAGCAAAGTCCAATTCGGCCTCTAACCCTATGATCCAAAACCGGACAGAATTAGGGGTTATCAAACCCTAACTTTTCACAATTCACTCCAAACCCAAAATTAGTTGCTATTATCACCAATTCACACCCACATGAGTCATTACCCCTCATTATCAACCATCATAGATGACCACAACATCACATTCATATTAAACTAGAAAATTCCTCAAAAAAATAGAAACTTCACCAAATCACATCAAATCAAGAAATAAATCACATAATCCATCACTTTAGCTCACATTAGGCACAAATTAACCATCATTAAGTATAGGAGGGAGTTCATATACCACTTACCAAGTAAACAAGAGAGAGGGAGTTGTAGGACACCTTAGCTCTCCAAGAAAACTTCACTAATCAACTTACTAACACCTAATGGAAGGATAATATGGAGTAGAAACTAATTTAGATAAGTGGTTTAGATGATTTGAGCTAGTTGGAAGCTTGAAATATTGAAGAGTTTTCTTCCTTTCTTGAGCTAAGAGGGCCGGCCACCAAGGAGAAAGAAAATGGTGATTTTTGAGCAATTTTAAGATATTTAACCTCTTGGTCAAAAAGTCAAAAAAATGGAATAGTAAATCTTAAATCAAAACCAATGAAATGGTGACACTTGGCACTACCATTAATGCATTCCTATCCCTTCTTTTTCCTCTCACATCAATCATTTCACATACTCTACTTATCTCTTAACACCCGATAAATTTCCCACAGTATCCGGAATTTAACCTAATTGGCCGAATTTTTCCGAACTTTTCGCACTAGTGGGTCCCACGTCCATTATATACTCTTAATTTTTCAAAAACTCTCCAATACAAGAAAATCATCTAAAGACTATAATTACTCATAAAATCCACCAAAAAAAAAATTCCTACGCCAGAAAATGCAGAAAACATGTAATTAAGGGGAAATAAACCCTAGGAAAAATATTAGGGAAATACGGGTTCTCACAGCGATAAAGTACACACTCGCCTAGAAAACTCGTTTTAACAATCATCGAAAGCACTTAACACATTATCAATCAATAATAACAAGCCAATAAGTCAAGAAATACAGCAAACAAGGAACACTCATATGCAAGCACGCATGATATGCAAGAAAACAGTTCAAAAGTAACTTTGGAAACTGTTTAAAGGTAAATAATGCAAGAAAACCGTACAAAAGTAACTTTGGAAACAGTTCAAAAGTAAATAATGCAGGAAAAGGTTCATAAAGAACTTCAGAAATAGTTTGAGGTCACTCACCTCCATGGCTCAGAAATCATCCATCATATAATATTGCCTTGCTCAAATCCAAGTCTTAGATCACAAACTCAATGCAAACAAGTCCCTTCAAAGTTCAGACAGCACTTCCCCTGAATTTGCTAACTTTTCCAGCCATCATGGCTTTATTATTTCCTCAGCCAGTCCCAAAGGTACACACACAACAACAAGTTCATCCAATAGCTATTCAGCAAGCTCCAAGTAGTACGAGTACAAGTCAAGCTAGGGAAAAGTCTGGAAATGAAAGTTAAGCTCAAAACCAGAAAAACAGTTTTGATGTCATTTTGCGGTAATGGTACCAAAGGCACTACGATTTTCGGATGAAGATGCAAGACCCACCGTTTCGAAGCTAAGAGACAGGGCTACAATATTACAGAAGGTCACTCAACCCAGTTTCGAGTGTAACAAGGTCAAAAATGCAAGATACTACACCGGAATCACAAAAATAGATTCACAGAACGCATTCTAGCGGAAACATCATAAATCAGTCTACCTAAGTCCAAATCTAGAAATTCCAAAACCAGATGAAAGCTAAGAAACAGGGCTACAGTTCATCAGAAGACCTCAACAACCAATTTGGAAGCATTCCTGACCAAAACAACCAAGTACAGAAGCAATTCCCAAATTCGGGTAAAACCAGGACAGCAAGGGAAATTTTGACTTTTCTTATTCTACGCTACTCCAATTGACCTGAAATTTTGTAGGCACCTCTAAAATGTCATTTCCTACAACTTTTATGTTTTAAGCCAAGGCCCATTCGGCCTCTATCTATGAGCTACAAATTCGGGCAGAATGTAACCATTAGAACCCTGATTTTTTCAATTTTCTTCCAAACCAGAAATTGGTTGCAATCATCCACTTTTTCCACCTTCTAGAATCATTATATACCATTTTCAATCATCATAGATAGCCACACAATCATGTTCATATTAAAACAGAAAAATCCCCAAAAATAATAAAACTTCATCACTTCAACCACAAATCAAGAAATAATCCATAATATTGCATCTCATACCACCACCAATCATGAATTGAACATCATTAGAGGAAGGAGAGGGGTCCTTCACAACTTACCTTAGCAATACAAGAGATAGAGCAACTAGCCACCTTAGCTTTCCAAACAACTTCACAAAACACCTCAAGACCACTTAGCAAAGAGATTTTATGGAATGATTTGGAGTTTTATTGGTTGGATTTGAAGATTGAGCAAGAAATAGAAGGAAGAAATTGAGAGCTTTTCTTTCTTTTCCTTTGAGAGAGAGCCGGCCATGAAGCATAGAAATAGGATGATTTTTGGCAATTTTTTTGGTGTTTATTTGGTAAAGGTAAAGGTAAAGTTAAATGGTCAAAGTCCAAGATTAAATCACAAGGTGACACTTGTCACCTTTTCGTTCAAAACTTATCTTTTTGTCTCTCCAATACAAATATCTTAACACCTTGTAAAATAATATCATTTAATACAAAATTCCAACAAGTTGTCAAAAATATAATGCATTTACCGTACTTGCGGTTCCCACGTTCAAAATACGCTCTTAATTTCTCAAAAACTAACCGATACTAGAAAAATCATTTTAAAACTATCTTTGCTCATAAACTTTATCTGGGAAATTTTTCTAATCAAGAAAATGTAGAAAAGGCGGGCGATTAAAAAAATAAACCCTAGAAAATTAGAAAATTTCCGGGTTCTCAAACTCATTTTGTTTTTTTTTTCGGGGCGTCACAGGGATAAGGGTACCCCTCCCATGTTCGGACGAGGAGCCGGAGGGGGACGAAAATCGGGAGAAGGCCAAGGGGCTCAGTCCAGGGGTGGCCCAGTGGGGAGAGGCCAAGGAGAAAGTTTCCAGAGGGGTTCAGGTTCGGCGTCTCGTGGACCTTGTGGGTACTGCGGGAAGCCAAATCATTCTGAGGACAACTGCTGGAAGAAAGGGGGGAAATGTCTGCATTGTGGAAGTGCAGACCACCAACTTGCCACCTGCCCAATTCTAAAACAAGATGGAAAGGGGAGTCAGCAACCACCGAGGATCAACGCTGGACCAGCTAAGGGAGAGGTAACGAAGCCTAAGGTCGCAGCTCGCGTATACTCGTTAGAGCCACAGCAGGTCCCAGATTCCTCTGAGGTCGTAGAAGGTACGATTCCTGTATTCCACCGCTTTGCAAAGGTTTTAGTAGATCCTGGTGCCACTCATTCCTTTGTTAACCCTAGTTTCATGTGTGGCATTAACATAAAACCTGCTAGTTTATCTTACGACTTAGAAGTTAGTACGCCTACGAGGGATCATCGTTTAGTTACTAGTCTGGTGTATAAGGATTGCGAGGTTTGGGTAAGAGAGTAGAAATTGTTAGGGGATTTGATTTGCCTGTCCATAAAGGGGTATGATGTGATTCTGGGCATGGACTGGTTAGCTAGGTATAATGCCCAATTAGATTGTAAAAAGAAGGTGGTGGAGTTTCGCATTCCTGGGAAGGCGACCCTAAGATTAGATATAAGGGGAAGGTTAGCCTCATCCGCTCTGATCTCGGGCATACGGGTTAGGAAACTGCTCAATAGAGGGGCGCAGGGATTTTTGGCCTTTCTAATTAACACCCCGACGGATAAATTGAAGGTGGAGGATGTGCCCATAGTAAGGGAATACCCAGATGTGTTTCCTGACGAGTTAGTATCCTTGCCTCCGAAGAGAGAGGTAGAATTCAAGATCGACCTACTATCGGGAACCTCACTTATCTCAAAAATCCTGTATCGGATGGCCCCTACGGAGCTTAAGGAGCTAAAATTGCAATTATAAGATCTGTTGGAGCGGGGGTTCATTCAGGAGAATGGGTCTCCTTGGGGAGCCCCTGTACTGTTTGTGAAGAAAAAGGATGGTAGTTTGAGGATGTGTATTGACTATCGGGGCCTGAACAATGTCACGATTAAGAATAAATATCCCCTACCCCATTTGATGTATTGTTCGACCAGTTGCAAGGAGCAGTGGTCTTCTCGAAATTGAACCTCCGTCAGGGGTATTATCAGTTGTTGATCCGAAAAGAGGATATTCTGAAAACCGCTTTCAATTCGAGATACAGACACTATGAGTTCGCAATTATGCCCTTCGGACTGACCAATGCCCCTGCCGCCTTCATGGACTTAATGCATAGGGTTTTTAAGCCCTACTTAGATCGATTTGTCATGGTCTTCATTGACGACATTCTGGTCTACCCCAAGACCCGTGAGGAGCATGAGCAGCACCTAAGGATTGTCTTACAAACCCTAAAAGACCATCAATTGTAGGCCAAGTTCAGCAAGTGCAAATTTTGGCTGGAGAAGATTTCTTTTCTAGGGCACGTAATTTCTCAAGAAGGCATTTCGGTTGACTCGACAAAAGTAGAGGCCGTGACTAATTGGAAGAGACCAGAAAACCCCACCGAGGTTCGTAGCTTTCTAGGTTTAGCGGGGTATTACCGGCATTTTATCAAAGACTTTTCTAAACTAGCTGGTCCTCTAACCAACTTGACGAAGAAGCATGGTCGGTTTATATGGAATGCCAAATGCGATGCGAGTTTTCAGGAATTAAAGACAAGGTTGACCATGGCGCCAGTTCTAGTCCTACCTAATGGAGTTGACGGGTTTGCCGTGTATACCGACGCGTCACGAGAAGGTCTAGGGTGTGTGCTGATTTAGAACCGAAATATGATATCCTTTGCCTATAGGAAGTTAAAACCACATGAGCAGAACTACCCAACCCATGATCTGGAGCTAGCCGCAGTTGTTTTCGCTCTAAAGAAATGGAGGCACTATCTATATGGGGTGACGTTCGAGGTGTATTCAGACCACAAGAGCCTTAAGTACCTCTTTTCACAAAAGGAATTGAATATGAGGCAGCGGCGGTGGATGGAATTTCTGGAGGATTACGACTGCACTATCAACTACCATCGAGGGAAGGCGAACGTGGTAGCCGATGCCTTGAGTCGCAAGGCTCAGGTAGCAGGGTTAATGATCAAAGAGTGGGATTTGTTGGAATCCGTTTGCGAGTGGAAACCTTGCCTTGGGAGTCATAAGGTGGTTTTTAGTAATATTAAGGTAACATCCCCCCTACTGGAGCGGATTAAGGAAGCTCAGAAGGAGGATTCGATGGTGCGAAAATGGGGAGAGAAGGTAGGAAAAGGGGAATCAACCGATTTCAACTTTAGTCCTAAGGGTATTTTAAGATACCGGAACCAAGTGGTGGTGCCTAAGGATGAAGCATTGAAAACGGAGATCTTAGAGGAAGCCCATCGGTCCAAGTATACGATCCATCCGGGCAGTAGCAAGATATATCAGGATCTAAAAGGAGCCTATTGGTGGGACAATATGAAGAAGGAAATCGCTCTGTATGTGCAGAAATGTCTCGTTTGCCAACAAGTTAAGGCGGAGCACCAAAAATCATCAGGCTTACTACAACCCCTTGAGATACCCGAATGGAAGTGGGAGAACGTTACCATGGACTTCGTTTCAGGGCTGCCACGAACACAGCGAGGACATGATGCCGTGTGGGTAATCGTTGATCGATTAACCAAATCGGCCCATTTCTTGCCGGTAAACATGAAGTATTCCATGGACAAATTGGCTCAGGTGTACATGGACGAGATTGTAAGGTTGCATGGCGTTCCAGTAAGCATTGTGTCAGACCGAGATCCCCGCTTCGTATCTAGGTTTTGGCAGAAGTTCCAAGAGACTCTGGGGACTAAACTCAATCTAAGCACCACCTATCACCCTCAGACGAAAGGGCAATCAGAACGAACCATCCAAACTCTCGAGGATATGTTAAGAACCTGCATTCTGGATTTTGGAGGTAACTGGGCATGACCTTGGTAGAGTTCGCGTACAATAATAGCTACCATTCGTCGATTATGATATTTTATATTATTTTTAGTCACTTTTGTTATATTATTGGAAGAAAATGAATTATTTTGGCTATAATTGGTGAATAAATGTTTTTAAGTGATTAAATGAGGTTTTTATCACTTTTTACTTGGATTTTGTGTATTTTGACAGTTTTGATGCATTTTCGTATTTCGGCTATAACTTGAGCTACAGTGATCGGATTAAGATGATTCTTGAACCAATTTGAAGATAAGAGATAGATCTACAACTTTGGTGAAGACATCTAAATCCAGTTTGAAGGTTTTCCAGGTCAAAATGCCGAATTACAATAGCAAATTTCTACTGGTCGAAACTGGAACAGGGCAATGAGCAGGTAAGGGTATTTTGGTCATTTCTCAGCCTACACAGATCCAAATGAGGTGATTCTTGATGCATTGGAAAGCTAACTAAAAGGGCTACAAGTTTCATGTTTTGGTCAAGAGCTAAATCAGCTTTTATCATCAAGAAAAGTTCAGTGGAAGTTGATGCAAAATCGGAGCAGAGCTGGAAATTGAACCAGAAGTGACCAAATGGTCACTGTATCAATCCGGCCGGAATTTGGCCGGATTTAAGGCCGGATTTCTGGCCGGATTGCGGTCAGAAAAGGCTGCTCTGTACGCGTAAAACTCAATTTCACTCCCACCAACTCACATTGGATGCTAGACATGTGAGAGACATTACCAACTGTAAGGAGAAAGTGTAAAGCTTCATTCCTTGACCATTTTCATCATAAAAAAATAGCCAAATTCATTGTAAGAGAGAGGGGAGTCCATAGCAGCAAACATAGAGAGTAAGCTACGGGAGAAGCTGGAAGTTGCAGAAATGTAGCTCTTTCATCTCCCTAGTGTTAGTTTAGCTTAGTATAGAGTAGTGTAGCTTTTCCATTCTTGTTTATTATCTAGATTAGGATGAAGATGGAGGATGAAGAAGGCAAGGAAGAAAGCTCATGTGACAAGGGTTGTATTCCTTCCAAACCCTTTATCTTTTGTATTTGATTCCAAGTTTAGTTAATATACAAGTTCTGGATTTTGTGTTCATTATGTGTTTCTAAAGTTTATACCTTGGGTTTGGTTGAACTTTCTATAATTGTTAGTGTTTATTGTTTGGTTATTTGATTGCTATGATTTGAGCAAGTTATTTAGCACTTTGGCTCTTTAAATCATGATTAATCTGGTACCATTGATTGTGATTATCTAAGGTGTTGTTTCTGCAATGAAAATTGAGATTTAACACTAGTTCAAGAAGTGCTAAACATAGGGAGTACACTCACGAAAGTAGAGGTGCACTTATGTGGTTTTTAGTGATTCATTTCATGTAATTTCATTGAAGAAATGAACTTGTAGCTAATTTCATAACCATGAGAATTGGTATGGATTAGTTATAAGTATAATTGATTCACTACGAAAGTAGGATTCAAATGCATAAGGAAATTACACCATAACTAGCCTAGATGTAGTACTCAATGATCCAAATATAGCACTTGCATGAGTAGTTAGGGATACCACAACCCAAGGAGCTTTTATTTGCTATTTTCTTGCATAATTTCAGTAGGTTTTAATTTGTTATAATTCATTGATAGTCTAAATAATAGAGAAGCTTTAGTAATACCGGTAATTGTTCACTCTTCCTTGTGGGATCGACCCGATATATACCCTAAACTACTAGTTGATCTGTATACTTGCAGTGAACGGGTGTAATTCGGTATTTTTTAGCTTGCACGTATGTAAAATACCCGTCAACTGTATTCGTGAATTTTAACCCGTTGGGATCTGTTGAACTTTTTGTGAGTTTTGATCAATTGGGACCTATTGAGCCTTTTGCATTCTGATTCATTGGTGGCTCGTTAGGGTTTGTTGGAAGTTTGATAGTTCATTGAAATCCGTTGGGACTTTTATGAAGAAAGTGGAGATTGTTTGCTATTTGTCTGTTATTTGTCATTGTTGGATACACAATAAGGTGGAGATTTATTGAGTTTATTTTTGTATCCCACATCGAAAATTTTACAAAGAAATATCTCCTTTTGATAGTTATAAATATAGTGGTTTAAATGACTTTATGTGTATTAAGGGCACCAATTCAAGTATCATATCATATGTACCAGTCTAGAAGAGTTTTAAGGGATTCACGGCCCCATCTAAGAGAGATTTTGGTTAGGTATCAAACTAAAAGATCAAGTTACGGGTCTTTGGACCGTTAAGTATTTTATGTTATTTAAACCTTTTTGTATTTTCAATTTTAGGTACCTTCCTTCAAAAGTTTTAGGTGCCTTTTGGATCTTGAAATTATTTTCTAAGGTTTATACTTTCTCTTTTGTACTCTATTTTTGATATAGTAAATCTGCTATCCTTTCAGTCATATACATAGATCAATTCGATCGAACCACGTAAAATTCTAAATTTCTTTGTTTGATTTATTTGATTTGTTGTTATATTTATTGGGTTAGCAAGAACGATATTATTTTCGCTGTTCAATTTTTTGGGACTAGAGTTTTGATTTATTTGATTTGTTATTATTTTTATTGGGTTACCAAGAACCATATTGTTCTCGCTGGTCAATTTTTTAGGACCAGACCTGAGAAATATCTTGTTAGGGAGAAATATCTCGAAAATGTCTATAAAAAAATTCAATATTTAAATTAAGAACCTAACTCTGACCCAAAATGTTAAACTATTAGATTTCGGGTTCTTACTTACATATTAAGTGTTCTTTCTCTATCTCTCAAACCAATATGAGATATAACCCTTTATTCATGAATATAACAAATCTCCCTATTTCATGTGTAACTCTTCACATTAAACCCAAGTTTACAAGTTCTTCTTTGAACCTATTTTAATACTCAACGCAAGATCATCTTAACACCTAAGATCATCTTTTCTTTCAATAATTAAGGTCATCTTTTTTTCC